AGCAGAACTGGAAAATAATCTTGAAGGATGATCTTATCTGTTTCTATTACCTAGAGGTGGATTTTGCACAAAAGTATAAGCTTCTTTGCCACTTAGAGAGCTCTTGGTTCATTTTACTTATTACTTTAAGAAAACCTAAACTACTCATCTTTTTGTTCAGTCCTCTTCAGTACCCTCAAGTTCTCAAACATCATCTGAATTTGTCGAGAAATATGGTTCATTCATATTCTTCAAGATTGTCAGTATGTCTGAATGTCTTTACTTACTATGTTTTTCCTTCTGGGTCCTGGCTTTCTAATAATGCAATATTAATTAGATTTACACTGGGCTTCTTGATCCAAACAGTAGCGAGAATAAAGATAAATTGTACTTAAGCATCCAGTTGATATTCCAGGGTGTGTTTTTTTTAATTCTTTAATCTGGAAGTGTGTATCTTTTCAATATTCCCACATGCTGGTTTAGGAACTCATTTCAGGGCTCCAAAACATGTATATATGAAATGAAACAAAGATAAAGTTTCAGCACAAAAAAGGGGGTTAGTTTTCTTTTATTATATATTTTCTTTGGAGTGATGGTAGCTAGTGGCACTATATTTCTTTGTCAGGTACATATTCCAGTTTATTTTGTTGAACCATTTTCTTGTTGTATTTTTCTGTCCTAAATGTACATTACTCCTTACATTTCTCCTACTGAATTTGCTGAACAGCAGAAAGTGGTTTGTGTGTCTCAGAAAAAAAAAATCAAGCTTCTGCAATGACGGAAGCACCTCTATTGAAAGAATATAAGCAGCAGGTTACTAAGGCATGGGGATATTGGAGAGAAGGTATGGGAGAGTGCAATACTAATACTCTTGATTGATCTGTTAGAAGTCTTTACCTTTTCACAAGTATATTTTGGAAAACCTAATGTTGTTTATGTATACACACAGATCATGTAGACAAAATACAACACTTAACTTTAAATTTGCTTTACTGTTTACACTTTCTTTTCCATGTTTTCTGAAAATCTCTGTTTTTAACAAAGTATTAAATGGTGAGTTTGAATCTGTATATTTCAATTAGTCCTCAAAAGTTTAATTTGCTGATAAAAGTAGTAATTATATTTTTCACTGTAGCCTTTTGGGAGGTGAGAACTTTTCAAGACAAATTTCCATTGGGACTATTCTGCCTATCGTTAGATTCATCCTCAAAACTAAGCAAACTTGCTTTTGTTACCTTTTAATAAATCTCTGTAGAGAACCTTCCTTGTTCTCTAAATTGCATTTGAGTTTCAAGTAAAATCCACTGCAACTCAAAGAGCATTTAAACTATATTTATGGTAGATGGATTCAGATATAGAGGCAATCTAAGTTTTACTCAGGGGAAAACTGCACTAACAGTCCTCCCTTTTTCAGTCATTCAACCATAAAGTTGATAGTGATTGTGACAGAAATTTTTATCTTCTACAATATAGTTTTAGTCTTTTTAAAGTTTTGCTGCTTTTTCAACAAGGTTAGATGAATTTGCTGAATGCTCACATGACAGAAATTTAGGATGACATAGTGTGGCTTGCAAGTTTTTCTTGTCGTTTCCACTAGCTGGTCAGATTCTAAGATCTGACTATATTTTTGTGTATGTTTGTGGTTGGTATTTTCATGAAGTTAAATGCAACGTTCTTTTCAGATACAAAAGCAGTACACTACTTACTGTAAAATACCATTTACAGATATGGAGAAATTTTTTTATGTTTGCATTAATGTTGACTCTTGGGGCTTTTATTAAACTTACAGTACAAAATTTTACATCTATAACTTCAGATAACTTAAAAGAATATATCCAGAGCAAATGACTGAGTCATTCCTTCAAACTTCTAATTTTGTTCTACTCTTAGGGAGATGATATTAGTATAAAAGAAAATTACAGCTTTCAGGTTGAAGTCTTCACTTCTCCCATACATAAATGACGTAATCAATATTTAATTTTTGTCAATGTTGTGTGTCAAAGTCAAATGAAGCAGATACAGAAGCCCAAGGACAGGTTTTAAATTATCATCAGCAATGCATTTCAGTGGCAAGAGGTGTTCAAAGTATTTCACTTTGCAAGATCATCAGTTTCACTGGTGTTCAGTTCTCCTACTTCAATGTGCAAAGTTTCTTTCAGTGTTATCTTTGATCATGAAGGCTCCTGAGGAACTTTTTATGGTACTTTTAAGATGAGAGCATTTTTTTCTTTTTCCATCTTGCTACTTCGTTCCTGATACTCCTTATATTCTGCTTAAGAAAAAGTCTCTTTTTCTTAAAGCAATAAAGCAAAAAAGCTTTTTTCTTAAAAAAAAAAAGCAAACTTTACTTGCTGGTTATCTGTCCCTTCCCTAGCTATCCATTTTTTAATTACACTGAACCAGACAAAACCTTCAGTGGTGTTAAGTTGCATCCTTACGTATTTGTAGTTGTGATACATAACTTTTAATTCCCAGGTAAGAAAAGTATATAGGCTCTATCTTAGAGCTAAAATGAGCAAGCAAGGCTACTTTTCAGAAGTTTTTTCGATTCTAGCAAAATGGCATCTCATCTATCCACTACTCCATCCACACCTTTGTAGCATGGTATATTTAATTCTGCTAGTTGATCACTTTCTGTAACTTTCTATAGCCATCTCCTATTAAGAAGTGTTATCTTTACTATTTGTAAGTTGACATTCACCTAAAGACCTAATATTCCTAATGTAAAAAGTACGATACTTGTAATTTATGTAAATGTTTCAGTTGCAGAGAATTTCTGCAATAAAAAAGCCTAGAAAATAGATTTTTTTTAAATAAAGTTATGATAATTATTTCTGTGGCAGAAAATATTTTAGTATCTCAATCATCTCTCATGCTTGATACCAATGAAAAATGATGCTTTGAACACCTTCTGTCATGAACGTAGTTTTAATGTTGAATTTGGACATTGGTGCAAGATTTCCACACAGTCCAATGAGTTACAAACTAATACTAAACCGAATTAGGATTGATGTTTTCAATCTAGTGTTGTGACTTTTAATATACAGCTACTATATGAAGTAATGACATTAGCAGATGAGGGCAGGTAGAGTTGGGAAGATGCTTTTGTATCAATTATTGTTACAAATTTTTCCGTAGAAATGTTCAGTGTTTTTCAGTAGAAGAAAGATCAGGTTGCTTACCAGAAGAAAGATCAGGTTGCTTAGCGGAAATTCTTAGATAATAATAAGATGCTCTTCAGGACATGATTTGGCAAGCTGTAGTTTTATCCATAGGGTACATGTTTTTGAGTGCGTTAAATTTTGCTTTTGTTCTTGATTCCTACTGTTTCTTCTTAAGGTGGTCATCAAGGTGAAA